GAGCACGTTGAGGAGCTCCTGCTGTGGGTGAAGGAAGGGTCTGGGTTCCCAGGCACGCTCACACTCTGGCTTCTCTCCCCACTCCAGGAAGTCCAGAGCAATGGCCGGCAGTGAGGTCACTGTAAGGAGAGGGTCAGATACCAACATTGCATACCCTGGGGCAAAGGCACCCCGCCACTGAGCAGACTGCAACCCCATCTCTCAGCCAAGATTACATACGGGTGCAAACTAGAATTGCTTCAGAGATTTCCCCGCCGTCTGGCTTATTGCTTTCCCCAGCACCCAGCCATCTCCCAGTCACACCCAGCTGGGCACCAGCTCTTTGTGTAAACCTGAAAATCGCACACACAGAGCCAGCTCCCAGGTCCATATAGGTACCAAGGCCAGCTTGCAGATTCACAGTGCCGCAGAGCTCACACTCGCTGGGAGCCAGTGCTGCCCAGCAAGACTTGCTATGCCAGGAGTAAGCTCCTGAGATGTGCACATACCTCCCTGTATCACCTCCCTGTTACCGGGAGCACCGGGGACAGAGGCACCCTCTAACTTTCCAAGGCAACACCTCCAGCTGCCCCCAGTGAGCACCAAGCCTGAACATCCGAGTCCTGCTGGGCTTGGGCAAATTTCCAAGGAGCAACCACCAGGCAACAGTGATACCTGACCCTCTAAACCTGACAGTGCCTCTGTTTCTATTTACTGCAAGTATTTTAGACAGCAGGCAGCTGAGTGCACATACATTTTAGCATACTATTGGGAAAGTAGTAGTTTATGGATTTTGCTATTTTCCAAGCGTTATGAATATTTACTATTTCAGAGGTGCCCACTGGCTGTATTTTGAAGATGCTGCGGTGAAATTTATCTGTCATCAGATGTACTTGTTTGCAAACTGTGCAATGCCTAAGCTTTCTCTTGTGGAAAAATGCAATTTCTAGTCTAGGTAGTTGTGACAAAAAAGCCTTCCAAATGTGAACTGAGAATAAAAATATGTAAATATAGATGCAAATTGTTGGCAAACACACTCTCTTGATGATAAATATACAAGGTATAAGAAAATTCAGATGACAAATGCGTTTGTTATGAAACCTATTTATCATCAAAAGCACTGTAGGTCAAAAATTTCATGTCTTGCACTCAAAAGCTCATTTTCTAAAGTGTAGATGAAAACATCTGAGCTGTCTAAAAGTATTGAGTATAAATATTGCACAGAATCTAGATGAACTGCTATGGACTCTGTAGGGTTTTTAGGCATGTTCTATGAAGTATGGAGGATGAAGGAACTGTAAAATCAAAAATATTCAGATGGGGACTAATTTGGATGTCACCGATATTGCTGTCATTGACATCAGTGATGTCACTGCATGAGCATGAACATGTACACATCTATAATCAATATGAATGGAGAGCCATGTCAGGCTAGTTCTGGTCAATTTTGAAAATCAGAGTAGCATCTCTAGAAAAGAGCAAAGTATCATTCCTAGCTCCCTTTATCTTAACTCACACTACTCAGGATCATAACACAAGGTAGGCTACCCACAAAGGAGAGATGAGAATCACTATGGACTCACTATCTGCTGTATATTTATTGCAGGCAACAAGCAGCCTGGGAGCACCAGGCAGCCTCTCCTGTATGTCATCTGCTACACACAGCCACCGTATCTGGGTGGGGTGACAGAAGCAGCACTGCTTGTTCCCAGTTTGCATTACAGGTGGTAGGATGAGAGAGGCTAAAAGCTGTTAAGCACTTTTAGGTGCAACAGCATGATTGTACCAAGTCACTAATTTCCATGCAGAGAGAACCCTTGCTGCGAGAGTAGAAAAGCTGGCTGGAGAGCCAGACAGCAGCACAGGCAGAGGGCCAAGACGGTGAGTGGCTAATTGATCATGGTGGTACACATATGCGCACAGTGAGCACACCCTGCCAGACTGCACCAGAGCTCAGCCCTGCAGTTACAGCGGCCTCCTGGCACCAGTGTTATATTTTGGACTATCAGTACAGGCAAAAGCTACAGCTTAAGTTAGCTTTACCACTACTTACTCAGCTCAGCTTTCCAATGGATCTGTAAGCACAAACTGCTCCAGTATCACCAAGCTGAAGTGGATCCAAAGCAGGTTTGCTCTCAATCCTTAGGACAGGCTTTGGACCCAAGATCCTACCTATGGTTGAGGAATGAGGCAGTTCGTGCTCCTTGTGCAAGGGAAGAGCTGATGCGGGGGCTGCAGCAGAGTGGGCTCACCTGAGGGGTTGTGCGGGAAGCTGCCACCCTGGCTGACGATGGGGATACTGGGCAGTGAGGGCCTGTTGACCCGCTTCCTCAAGGCAGTACCAGCGTGCTCTCTGCATTCATTGCTCATGCTGGCGGAAACAGAAACTGTCCCATTGAGAGGTGGTAGGCTAAAGCCTGCAGAGAGCAAAAAGGACCTTGTAAGTGAAGAGTGCTGGACAGGGTGGCTATGGGCTTAGAAAGGGCTAGAAATCTTGCTGGAGCTGGGTAACATCCTTTTGTTGTCTCAAACAACTCCAAGCATAACAGTTGCACACTAACGGGGCAGTGGGACAGTGATCACAGAATCATAGTTTGGTTTGGAAGGGACCTTTAAAGGTCATCTAGTCCAACCCCCCTGCAATAAGCAGGGACATCTTCAACTAGATCAGGTAGCTCAGAGCCCCGTCCAACCTGACCTTAAACACCTCCAATGATGGGGCATCGACAACTTTTCTGGGCAACCCGTTCCAGTGTTTCACCACTCTCATCATAAAAATTTTCTTCTAAATCTACCCTCTTTTAGTTTAAAACCAAATGCAGCGATGCTTTCCCTGAGAAATGAGGAAAACTCAGTACTGCTTTTCTTTTGCTTTTCTGTTTCAGAGGCTGGATAGGGAAGCTACATTTCTGGGGCTCCCACCTCAGCACTCCCCACCAGTACTTCACAAAACAATAGCAAGAAAAAGAGCAGATAACCTTGTCTGATGCCCTTGGGCTGAGTGCTGACTCTTAAGTTCCCTGCTGCTATACTCATGGTAGTGGTGCAGCAGTACAATCAGAGCCCATCAGCTGCAATTAAGTCAGTAATGCTGCTTGCTCGTGTGGGTAAAACTTAAGCACTCGCTAGGGGCTCCAGCATGGCTCTGCGATGCGAGCTCCTCAGCAGGCAGTGGTGTGAGCAGGATAATCTGTCCTATCACATGAGCAAAATCTTCTGTGTTTTCACTAGAAATAGTTTAATTTTGTTTCTTCCAGGTTGCACCTTGGTTGAAAAGCATTCTTTTGGACTCACCCATTCACCTTTCCTGGAGGCTACTCTCAATTAGAGAGTCAGAAGCCCCAGGGTAGTTTGCATGACAGAATTATCCAGTCTGAAAGACTATAGGAGAAGGGGGGAAGGTGATATTCTATGACTGATTCAGCGTGGGCCATGGGCAAGACACTTCATGCCTCTGTATTTTTCTTTGGAAAACGGAAATAAATCCTATTCTAGCTTTCACTCAGATGCAAGTGTAACAGCCTTCCAGTCTGATTTCATAGGCATTTGCAATACTATGCAAATAGTAAGCAAGTGAACAAAAAGGCCCACAACTATAGCAACCACTTACTTTCTTTGGCTGCATCCCCATGGTCAACACCCTGCGTAGGGAGCTGCAAGGACTCTTCCTTTTCTCTCTCGCTCTCCCTCTCTCTACGCAAAAGCTCCATCTGTCTCATTCGCTTCTGGTGTATTTTCTTCTGTGCTGACTTGGACAAGGTAACATGGATCTAGTTGCAATGGAAATACATCATGGACCATAAAGAGAGATACACAAACCATACACAACACCTCATCAGGAACACAGTGATAGAGTGTCATCATCTTTAATACAGCTCCATATACATCCTAGTAGTTTCAGAAGAATTCCTGCTTTCCTCACCTTGGCATACAATTACACCCAGTGATGTATAACACTTCATTGCCATAACCTTCCGCTGGTCCAAGATACTGTTTCTCAATCTATGTCAATGTGCTCTCTGAGAACACAGGAGTCCAAAAAAGGAGTCACAGAATCATAGAATGCTTTGGGTTGGAAGGGACCTTTAGAGGTCATCTAGCCCAAACCCCCTGCAGTGAGCAAGGACATCTTTAACTAGATCAGGTTGCTCAGAGCCCCATCCAACTTGACCTTGAATGTTTCCAGGGATGGGGCCTCCACTACCCGTTCCAGTGTTTCACCACCCTCATTGTAAAAAATTTCTTCCTTATGTCTAGTCTAAGTCTACCCTCCTTTAGTTTAAAACCATTACCCCTTGCTTACTTACCTGCTTTCCTTGACCTTCCTTTTCTGGCTGACATACCTGTAAGAAGCCCTTCTTGTTATTTTGTTATTCTTTGCATCCCTTGCCAAGTTCAGCTCCAGCCACGCCTTGGCCTTCCTGACCCCATCCCTATACAACCAGTCAGCTTCCCTGTACTCTTCCCAGGATACCTGTCCCTGCTTCCACTGCCTGTGCAGTTCCCTCTTGCTCTTTAGTTTGACCAGCCTGTCTTGACTCAGCCATGCTGGTCTCTTCCTTCCTTACCTGATTTCTTACACCTGGTGACTGAGAGCTCTTGCATTCTATGGAAGGCATCCTTACAGACACTGTTCTGTTCTGTTCCCCTGTCCCTGAGGACTGTTTCCCAGGGGGTCCTTCTGACTAACTCCTTGAAAAGCTGGAAGTTTGCTTTCCTAAAATTTAGGGTCCTGACTATACTCCTCGCTTTTCCCATATCCCTCAGGAGTGTGAACTCCACCAATGTGTGATCACTGCAGCCCAGGCTGCCTCCAATCTTGATGTCACTGATGAGCTCACTTGCATTGGTGACCATAAGGTCCAGTATTGCATCCCCTTTGATCTGCTCGCAGCTATTCTTCAGGGACAGCTCTTCACACTGTATCGATTTCTTCATGTAGAGGGCAACGCCACCACCCCTCCTTCCTCACCTGTCCCTTCTGAACAGCCTGTAGCCATTGATAGCCATATTGTAGTCATGGGATTCGTCCCACCAAGTTTCAGTAACGGCAATCAGGTCATAGCTTTCTAGCAGCACGGTGGCTTCCAGCTCCTCCTGTTTGTTTCCCATGCTGTGTGCGTTCAGGTAGAGGCATTTCATCTGGGCTGTTGGCTGTGTCACCTTCTTAGTGGAACACCCCTTGTTTCCCCTGAGGCGTTTCATGGAAGTTTCCTTGTTGGCTCCTACTACCTCAAGAGCCCCCAGCTCATCTCCGCAAGACTTCGACTGTGCTGCACTGTCCCCAGCATGCCTCTGGGCAACAGGTTGAGGGCTCATACCAGCACCGCATCCCTCTAACCATTGTGTACCATCCCACAGCTTGTCACAGGCAAGCCTGATATGTTCCCCCTCCCCCTTCACACCTAGTTTAAAGCCCTGTCAATAACCCTGCAAGCTCCTGAGCAAAGACCCTCTTTCCCCTTTGAGAAAGGTGGCTCCCATTTGATGCCAGCAAGCCTGGTGCTGTGTAGGCCATCCCATTGTCAAAAAACCCAAAGTTGTGATGGTAGCACTGGCCATGGAGCCATGTATTAATAGATTGGGACTGCCTGTTCCTTCTAATGTCACTGCCCACAATTGTAAGGAGGGAGGAAAAAATAACCTGTGCCCCAGATTCCCTCTCTAACCATCTCAAGGCCCTGAAGTCTCTTTTAATCACCCTTGGGCTACATACTGCAACTTTGTCACCACCCACGTGGAAGAGCAGTAATGGGTAATAGTCCGAGGGCTGTATGAGGCTGGGAAGTTTCATAGCGGTATCTCTAACCCGGGTTCCTGGGAGGCAGCAGACTTCCCTATGAGAAGGGTCTGCCCGGCATATTGGACCCTCTGTTCCCCTCAGAAGGGAGACTCGTACAACTATGACCCATCTCTTCTTCCTTGTGGAGGTGTTATTAATATGGGAGGTAGGTCTTTCTGGTCTTGGTGACTCCTCTGGTGTAGATGGATCGACACCCGCATCATCCACATCTAGAGCCTCATACCTATTGTGCAGAGGCACCTGGGGAGATGTGGTGGGCAAGGAAAGGCTTCATTTGCAGCCCCCGATTGTGGACTTGTTTCCAGTTGCTGCTTCCTTTTAAGACCCTGCCTACATCCTGGTGGGGGGAGGATACTGGATCCCTTTGATCACAGGCTTTCTCTAGTGGCTGTCCCTGTTCAGGTTTCTGGAAGGTCAGAGCATGGTTCCACCAGGCTATCTCTTGCTCAGACTCCCTGCTGCTCCATAGCCTGTCTACTTCCGCTCTTAGCTCTGCCACCAGGCCGAGTAGAGAGTCCGCCTGGTCACGGCGCACACAGCTGTTCCCTCCACTGCCATCGGTTTCCAGCGCAAGATGGTGGCCCTCCCTGCAGCCGGAGACGCGGCCGGCTG